CAATCAGGATTAATTTGATAGAAGATGTTTTTGAATAAAACAGATACAATGACTGACCAATTACTACTTCCAGGTTTCAGTAGGAAAATTAATCCAATATCTGTAAGTTAATTATCACACTCGACCTTTAAGTCGATAAAAAATAAATGAAGAAATACATGATGTAATCCAAATTCTCATAGCTCATTAACTCACTAACAAAGAGATCTGATATGATGTGATATATGGAGATTTTATGTAAATCGAATATAAATTGCAGGATGTTTGGAAATTTTTGATATTTTGAATAGACATTTTAATGATACATAGACACAGATAAGAGTTATGAATAGACTGCTTGAGGTTTCAGAGTCCCCCTGCAGTGTGTTAGGCAGTTGGTACAAGGTAAATATTCAACCAAAATGAGATTAGGAGATCAACAGAAGAGACTTTGCAATGAGTTGGTAAGAGGCATCAGTGGGTGGTTTGGAAGGGATTTTTAGAGTTTTCTTTTCACTTTTATACTTTACAAAAGTGCATTTGGGGCAAAAAAATGAATAATACTTGCTTTTAGGCCCAGGCAATTTAAACACAAGTAAACTCTAAAGACTGTGAAAGGTCACGTTGAAGGTGATCTACCCTGGATTTTAAGTAGGTGGAAGTATTTACATTGTTGCTCATATTTCAATTGGGCAGGAACATTTGGATTTTTGTATCCTTTCCCTTTTTTAGGTTAATGATTTTTTTCTCCTTGAAGTCCATATCAATGATAGATAAAAAATGGAGAGAAAAATCATGATAAAAATCAATGTAATCATACATTAGGAGGGAATATGTGAAATCTGTGTTTAAAAAGAGAATTCTTTAGTTGTTGGATTTTGTCTGGCCAGCCTCTATAAAATTCTGAGGCAGATACTGGGGGAAAAAAGGACTTGGAGGAACAAAGGCAGTTTCAAAAGTCCCCTGGGCCTCTCTCTTATCTGAGAAAAATTTCCTTAAAATGATAAGAAAGAGAGGATTGTACTAGATGTGAGTTGGTTATTTAAATTGAAATCTTTATCATGTACCATATGAACTTCAGACAGTCTTGTCTCTTTTCTTTTAAATAGAAACCACACAAAGAAAGTATCTATATATCAATTTCTAATAGCTAATGGGAAAGTCTTATAGAATATCACAACAGCAGTAAGCAAGTATGTACGATAGGATTAAGCACTAGCCTTCAACACAAAACAAGCAACAAAAATTTCCCTTAATGTTTCCCCCTCAGATTCAGGACTTTATGATCTTTGTGGGGAGTGGGCACAGAGACTCATACTTCTACTGTATTCTAAGGTAAATAGTTCCTTAATGTTAATCCTCCATCTTTGAAAACATGGGGAACCCATGTCCTTTGAATGTGTATGCTCATTCATGGGAGAGGAGTCAAGTAGGGCCTATTCTAATAAATTAAGACAGTCTTTTATGATTGAAAACAGAAAGGAACACTTAAAATAGTCTGATTCAACAAGTCAAACCGTACATTTCTAGCTAGCCTATGAAGTCTATGTGAGTTTATTATCTTTCATTCTACTATGAAAGAGAAAAAAAGACCAAGTCACTTTTGAACATTAAGCTTTTCATTCATAAAGATTGTATAAAGTCTAAAACCCAACAGAAAACAAAACAAAATCTTCACAGGTTGTTAGCCATCTTCTTCAAAAATTTCTTTAAATTTTTTTCTTTGTCAGTAGATAACCCTTGTCTCACAAGGAAATACTTTCAACCTTTCCCAATGAGATCCATGTCTGCTTGTGGGAGAGTGACCACTCTTTGAGGTGTCAGATGGGAGAGTACCTGCTACAAACCGGAAATCAGTGCGTGCCCCAGAGGAGGTGGCAGAAGCTGTTTCTAGCAATGGTAAGTCTATGTTCTTAGAATCTTTGTTCTTATTTTCTCCACTCTCTGAGTATTTTAGAATGGAACACCACACACACACACACACACACGCACACACCAAAACTAAAATCAAAACCAAAAATAAACAAGAAACCCAAACACCTAACAGAAAAGCAGGAGGAAACTTAATCCTCTTCTGCCATTTGCCTCAAGTTCTTTTTCTCCTCTCATTTTTATTCCAAGCTATTGACCAACATCCCAGATTGGGTCAAGTATTGCTAATTTCATCAAATTAGAGAGCCAATGGAATAATGGAGCCTTCTAACTTTAGAAACTTTCCATCCTCTGTCTCTGAACTCCCCAAACTCACAACTTGGTGAACAATCTTTTACTTGTGAGTGATATAAAGTTGAACGGTGGTGGCTAGATCTAATACTATCTTATTAAGCCATCTATCTATAGAATTGTTGTTTTCATACTTTAAAAAAATATGTCTATGCTTTCTTTTTTTTCTTTTTTCATTTTTTTAGTCAAGTACTTTCTTAAAGAAACAATAGCACCACATTGGCATAGCTGGCCAAACAATAAATGGGAAAGCAAAACATGTTGCATCTTTTCTCCCTCACCCTCTCTCAAGTGCACAAACCAATAACAGAAATCCTGGAGCCATGGGGTATGAGATGGTTTCAGCTACAAAGACATTCTATATTTCACTTTGACGTTCCAAGGAGGGGGAAGGAGTTTCAAGTGGGCAGGGCTGCTTTGTTAAAAATAAGATTTTCAAGGAAATGATGTTTTTTATTTTTCCATTTGGAGCCTCTTAGGTGAATAAGTGTCTGTTGTTTGTTTGTGTGCGGTGTGTGCATGTGTGTGTGTGTCTGCATGTATGTGTACACGTGCTAGCACACACTCGCATGTACGTAGGGTACATGTATGTAGGGTGGATATTAAAAAGTATTTTTTATCCCAGGAGAGTAGATTATAATGGAGAGATGTGTTAGCTTTTTCAGTAGCACTGACTCATCTTACAGTGCTCAAACAATTGATATTATTTGGAGAATAGGACCACAACTTCACCTAGGTACTGAGTATTTTAATTAAATAAGGAATAAGGCTATCAAATAAAAGCTTGTTCCTATCTATCTTTATAGTTCATTTGTGAACATCTTAAAGTTGCTCTATTTCCAGACACCAAACAATTTAACACTGTAGTGAAGCTTACGGAATTTAGAGTTGTAAAATTTGAAGTGTCACTTTCTTATTTATCATACAGTGACCAATTGGCTTTCATAGTTTATGCAGTTTTATCTTACAGTGTTCATTCTTTTGAGAATATAATGGTATCTTAGTGTCATTAATTTTACTAGTTGATTTCTGATCCAGTTGGAGAGAATTATGTATTGGACAAAGGATTTCATATTTAACTTTTCCTCACTGAGAGAATTTTTGACTGTATAGAATTAAATGAAGAAAATATGTGACAGACTCTTGGAATCACCATATTCGACAATGACGGGAACCCCATAGATCTGTAGAAGACTGCCTATAAGGGTTTGGGGATCCCCAATTTTAAAAGCTACACTCTGGAAGCAAGAACTGATGTCAGAAGTGCCACCCTGGGTGTGGGAGGGTCCTACCACACTTCTGGGAAGCAGGTAGATGGCAAAACTGACCTATTTATATCTATCTACGCTACTTAGGGTGTGCTCAGCCTGCCAGGTAGAGCTTTCCTGAGCAGCAGGCTCTGCATTTATTCAGAGACTCTTGAGGCAGCCCAGTTGAAGGAAAACTAAAAATGTCTTTTTTGTTTTTCTTATATATTTTATAAGAATATTAAGGAAATCTGCAAAAGAGAGCAAATCTATAGATAGTAACATTATCTGGATACTTTTTTTGTTCTAAGAAGGGAGACAATCTTGCTGCACAAATAGGGAACACATTCTAGACTTTTTTGGGTTGTCAATGCCCAGTTGAATGTATCCAACACATCTGCAGGAAGCTGACTTCTTCCTTCTTCTAAGCAGATGATATGGAGAATCTTGGGGTTGAGAAGGAAAACTTTTGCCTCTCAAGTAGCAATTCTGGCTGCACATTTTCACAAAATAAAATAAGTACATGTGTACACAAGCAAGGGTATAAGACTATATCCACTAAAGTAACTTGTGATTCTTAATAGATATTTCAAAACTTAAGAATATTGAGGTCTTTTTTAATATGCTAAAGGGAAGAAAATGTGTTTTTCAAACTGAGTAGGTTATCATTGATAATACTAGAGTTACTCCTAAATAAGCAGTGCCTGGAAGGATTAATGAGAGTGGATAAATGGAATGCACTTTAATTGACAAGGGCCTTTCTCCTTCCCTTCTTTCTTTTCACTTTCCTTTACATTCCTAAGTTCAATGCAGAAATAAAATCAAATTATAAGCCAAATGTCTCTTACTTTGTGGTGTAAGAGAGATGGAATCATTAGCTCTTCACTAGCTAATTGGACAGCTTCACCAATTAGAACTTGGATATCGTATTGACATCTCAGTGATTGACAAGAAATCCTTGGAACTACATTGCCAATGGGTTATTTATAGAATTCCTTGTATCCCAGTAATCCAAGGGCTCTGATGTTGCACCCACCTGGAAACCCAGAGGAAAAATCTGAAGATCTATCTGTTTAATATTCATACCACCCCTTTGAGGTAGGTAGATGACATATTGCCCCCATTTTGCAGATGAGGAAACTGAGGCACCGAGAGGTGGAGTGACTTGACCAAGGTCACACAGTGGTGAGCCTGTGTGGCAGAGGTTGCAAATACTTATGCCATTGGTGATAAAAAGAAACCAAGATTCCTAAAATGCCTAGGCTCTTGCTTTTTCCACTCCATAGTATCCTCTCTGGACTCACCAAGTAAGTGTGTCTTAGTGGACTTTGTATCTTAAACTCCTCTTGGAAGGCATTGCTGGGGAGGCCTTTGCATCTCCCAAGAGGATGGATTTGTTTTTCAGTTCCCTTCCTAATTTTGTCATCTTAGGCTCCAGGCTTTCTTTTATGCTTTGCTTTCACCTTTTACCGTTTTGACCAGACTCTTTCATATAACAAACTACAAAATAGCACCATTGTACTAAAAAAACAACAACAACAGAGTTTTACATACTGTTTGATATATCCTGTATTATTGATATGCTAAATTTACATAGTGCTCTATATGGAAAAATAAAAAGAGAGAAGTTGCTATTGAGGTTACATACTAACTTATCATTTGAAGGAACCATCAAGATTCAAAGAGACGTTCTATGTTTCAAACACACACCTAAAAATGATTGGCCTCAAAATTGCAGTTGTTGTCATTCTATTTTTTTCTTGTAACATGATGTGGAAAAATAAAGCTTTGTGTCTAAAATAAATGCATCCAACTTATATTTGGTACAAATGCCACAGATGGAATCAGATGGGTTAAAACTTGGTGGGCCAGTTGACTACTTACTTGCTATTGCTTTTGAGGAGGCCAAATTCAACAAATACATGTTAGGAAAGGGCAGGGCTAATGGAGATAGACAAGATTGTTAAACTCTGTAAAACAAGCAGCTTGAGCTGTGTGGGGAAAAATAAAAATAAGAGAGTAATTCATAAACCACTTATACACAGTTGCGGAATGATTGGCTTCAGCAGCCAGAATTCAGAGAGGAATTTAGTGCAACTGGAACTATACAACACCCATGCATTTTCAGCCTTTGAGAGGCAGGGACTAGAAGATATAATTATATATATACTTTTTCTCTATAGAACGTATTGATAAAGGATCAAAAGCAATCTACCCACTGCATGATCACTTTTGCAAGGTGCAAAGTTATTATTTTTTTTAACAAACACTCCTAAAGACCATGTTGGAATGTTTACTTGTGTATTTCACTGGGGGAAATGCCCATCTTTGAAATGTTATTCATCTTATTGTTATTTTTTGGTAGGCGTTCCCATGTTTGCCGGTTGCTGATGTAGATCAAAGGATCCTGCTGTCGCACATCAGTTTCTGCTTCTTGGTAGGCTCTTCCTACATCCTGTAGTTCTTGTTTCCCGCACTCCCTCTACTTGTGTTCTTCAAATGCACTTCCTACAAGCAAAGAAGAAAAGGTCCCATTAAGTTGTTGTGGTGTATAGATCCATTCATTCATATCTGTAAACAATTCATTCATCCCTTGTGCTTATTAGTCACTGTGTGATTGCTAATTAATTTGATTCACACATACAATGTGCAATGACCAAAACAGAGTGAGTAGTATTTCAAAGCCTTTAAGGACTCATCATTTCCTTATTTATGTAACTTTCACACTCTCTTGTAGATCTTTATAATATGTATAATAATTCCTGTAACTTATAGTTCCTTTCCCTTTGTTCTAGTGCTATAGGAGACTAATCTGCTACTTTCTGGGTATTGTGCCCCGCTATTTTTAACACTGGGTTTCATCCTTTTGTATCTTATGCCTCACCAATCAAGTTAAAAGAGGGGTTGAGTCTTGAAATCTTTGAGAATGCAGATGGACAGGCCTTTATTTAATACCTATCTCTATGAGCGTCCATGGCATAGGTACCATGGTTTTATAATTACACAAAGATGACACTCTTTCGATCTGCCTCTGTCCCACATTCAGTCACAGGAAGGAGATCCTGAGAATGGTAGCCTTCTGACTGCAAGTATATTTTTCCATCACTGAGTAAAAAAAAACAAAGCAAAACAGATCCAAACAACAAGAGCAAGAAAACCCCACACGCATCAGGGCTGCCTCTGCTGTCTTGTTACAGCTTGTTTTACATTATTGGTTTACAAAAAGGAGATGTTGCTTTTAGTTTTTGCTCATTTTCCCCTGTGGGGATAGGTGGAATTTTTGAAGCAGAAGACTGGGAAGTCAGGTAAAAAATCACAACACCCTGAACTGAGTCTAAATCCTACCCACTTCTATCTGCCAGCCAAGTGTGCAAGTAATAGCTTTTTAAATCATAAAACAGAACAATGACAGTATCTACTTTATAAGATTGAGCAGTTAGCATTCATGAAAGCCCCTTTCTTGACTGCAGGTGTATTAATCAACATGGTTATTAGTATTTTAATACTAACAGGAGTATTAGATGTTATTATTAATTCTCTTTTATCATGTCATCTTTGTGTTCATGTGTGTAGTTTGTTAGTACATGCAGATGTGTCTGTGTGTGTACTGTGTGTGTGCGCGTACAGATGTGTATGCAGGTACACCTGTAGAGCTGCCATTTTTTTTGAAACAGAGTTTTCATTGAACATGGCTAGAGCGCTGAACAGCAAGCTCAAGAGATCTGCCTGTTCCATCCCTACTCACTTGGCATTAGTGCCTGGCTTCCCGTTCTTTACAGATTTTCATGTTTCATGGTGGGCTCTTCACCAACTGAGCCATCCTCCCTGCCCTTGTTTTCATGTCATGTTAGTTGGAAAGCAACAATCTTAAGGTCCAAGCACCAAGTTCATTGAGTTGCTACCATTATCATTTCCTCAACAAATAAAGACGATGAAGGAATGAAGGAATAGGAGTTTTGTTTAGAACAGAAGTCCTAAGAGAGCAGGCTTATCTGCCTCATGATTGTTAAAGCTCGGAGTCTATCTTAGGATGTTGCAGGTAGTCAGAGTTCTGTAGGAAGAGGCAATAGGCAGTTATAGGCACAGAACAGCACTTCAGAAGTCACAATATCTCCCATGACTGGGGACACACTTCTGTTAAGACCAAACAGTCGTTCTTACTCTAGCAGCCAAAATCGCCAAACTTTTCTCCTGCCTCGGGTAATGTCCACTCAGTTTCAATACTGTTAGGAGATAAAGGACTTTAGAGGCATAGGAAGGGGGAGAGGATGTAATACTGCTGATACTACCATTTCTTGGAATCAATACCTAGCAGCCAAGACTCTAAGGTATGTGGTCACTTTTCTGGCACATGTTGACCTTCATGAAATATGGAAGGGAACTATTCCATTGTGAGTTAGTGGTCAATATCGTACTGACCAAGCAAAATGAAGGGGGCATCATCATGTAAAAAATACAACAGGTCTATGCCCATTGTAAAAGAAGGAGGCAGAAGAAAGTGGGCCTTGAGTAGAGGATCATAAAATTCCAGTTTAAATGATTGAGACTTTCCCTTTTTATAACATAACAGCTCTTGGGAAGTTTACTTAACACACTTTCATTGCTGGGCAAATCATTAGCCATTAATCTACTAGTGAACTTCTGTTCCTTGGTCCTTGTCTTCTAAGCATTTGCTAGACAAATGAAAGGAAGGCATCTGTGGCAGGACTGGGATCATTGAAGTCCCCAAACAATCTCAAGCTATGCGTGGTGTGACCCCATTAGCTTCATCTCACCACATGCTCCAAATAGCTGTCATGTCAACAGCACTATTCTATGAAGCTATTAGCCAAGTTCACTAACAGAAGGGGAGTATCCTAACTTGAATTATACTTTTTTCTTATTTAATATGCACACTAGCTTAGAAATAAAGAACAGTGAGTCTAAAATGTGCACGCTAAAACGATTCAAGAATGAACTGGTAACAATGAAAGAAATCCCATGATCTCTTGAATCAAGCTGACTTACAAATTTGTCAAAGAACAGGTGTCTTTTGTACTTTATAGTCTTTAAGTGCATGAGGGTTGTACAGCAACTAAAGGGAACACGGGGTTAAATCGACCATTTTACAGATCTTCTGGTTCTTTCTCTTTTTTCTGAAAGCAGAAGGTAGACAGGGTAAGGTCGAGCAGAAATGTCCCCTGGTGGTTTTCTTGTGGGTGTGCCTCAGCATCCTGCAGAACTGAGGGCTGAAACTCACCCACCACTGCTCTAAGTAGCATGCTTCCCAAGCACACAGGTTCAGCGAACCCATTTAAAACCAGCTGTGTGTCTGGTTTGCATTTGGCTCTGTTCCCAGGCTCTCACATGAGATTTCTTTGTTGCAGACAATGACAGTGATGAACAAAAGCACTCAGGGACTTGGTCTCAGTTGCATCTGTTGCTTTGCTCATTGTCTTAATTTAATTATGCTGGCTACCCTTGACAATAGGCTGCAAGTGGAGGCCTGTTAGGAGCAGCCATCCTTGGGGCTGGCGCCCACCTTCAATGCACTCCTTGAAGGGTTATGAAACAGTTTCACATGCAGCCAAGCAAAAACTTTTCACTTCAGCTGCTTGTCCAAGACAAACAAATCAGCTGAAGCTGTTTCTAGTATGCAACTAGATGGATTTTTGAAAGGAAAACAGTAGTGAGTAAATATTAATTCCTATTGACAACAGAGAAGCTAAGATTATTACCAAAAATGCCGGTCTTCTAGCTCACCGGGGTTGATGGAAGAAACTGGCCCTTCTGAAAGAAAGGCTAACCAGATTATCAAAGTATCATCTTGGGAAGGGATTAATTTGTAATAGAGGGCATTTGCTTTCTTCCATAGCTTTCCCCCAGAATGTTATCCATAGACCTTTTAAGGGCAAAGATCATCAAAGGCTCATAACAACAGACATCACATAATCTTGCTTGGCACCTGCTGTGCCTTTACGGTTGAGTAAGTTCTCTCACTGGCTCCTCACATTCATTTTGGCAAGGTGACCTTATTTGTGTCCAATCCATTTCCAGGCTGAGGCTAGCTAAGATTTGGTGATGTGCTTCAGGCTGCAGAGGAACAGGCTGGGAGAACTGAGAGGAGAAGCAGCAGTACATGTCACTGTACTAAGGATTTATTTATACACTTCTGTGTACTTTCTCATTTAATTCTCACAGTCCTCCTCAGGGTGGTCACTGATATCTTGACCATTTAAAGCAATCTGAAGTTTAAAAGGATTAAAAAAATCCCGAGTATTTCTTAGAGTTAAGCTGAACTTCTGCTTTGGGTTTGTAGCAGTTCTTTGTGAATCCGGGGCTGGCCTGCTAGCCTACCTTCCCCGCCAAGAAGTAAAACAGAACCTAGTGCGGCAATGTCCAAATCTCTTTCTGATGGCAGCAGCTCATAATGTCATCAGTTGTCCACCTCCTCAGCTGGTTTATTGATGAAGGTACAACCTCACAGGGCAAGGGCTCCAAGCTAAGAGGGTGGGTGTCTTTTCTGACCTCAAAGTCACATAGGCTACATTTTCATGATTTTTTTATAGAGCTCTGGAAATAGAGTACTTCCAGTTAGCAAAGGCTAACTCCTTAGATATCATTACTTCTGATTTTCATCATGCCTGTTCATGGGGTGGGGATTTTTGCCTAAGGGACAGAATATGAAAGAAAGATGATAGGCTCTTTAAACTCCAGGAAGGAAGTGTTGATATTTTCAATAGACCATGTTTCCATCTTCTGCCCCCTGCAAACAAGTCAAGCATTGTAGGGCATAGTCTAGGGAAGGTCTGGCATCCTATAAAAATGCTGGGGAAATAATGGCCAACATAGACTATTAGCAGCTTATTTACAGCATTGACCTTCTCCACAAAAAGGCAAATAGAAAAAAAGAACAGTGAATGATTGAGAGGTGGCCCAGACATCAACCCTTCACTTGTTGAAAAGGATGTGCTGTAGTTCTTTTCCTCTGGTTGGCTTGGGGGTCACATGGCACTGTGGAGGATGATTTAGATGTCTTGATATCAGCTGTAACATCTGACTTTAAGGGATCCCAAGTGCAAATTCTAAGACCGTCAGAGCAGCCTCACTTCCCTGGCAGCTGGGCTGAGTGTCATGAGATCTATTCTGTGCATTAGGATATGGCTTTAAAACCAAAGAACAGAGCACACACTCTGAGAGACCTGTGTTCCTGCTGTGAAGACAGAGGCACACGTGTGGACACAGGGGCACAATGTCGTTTGCCTAGCCTCTGGCTGTGCTTTGAAAACTACCTTCTTCTGCCTTCAACGTGATGGGAATGGCTACATATTCCTCTCCCTCCACATGGCATTTTCCTTTGAATAGTTTGGATTGTTCCAGGCTGACCCCTCACCTAAGCTGAGTTTGGGTGTAGTGGGGATCCCCATCTTTGGAACACATACATTTTTAGTGACCACTTTGTTTTAAAGACTCCTTGGTGGTTGTTACACTGTCCTTAACACCTTATATAAGCCTTAGATATTTCTGCC